AGCACGTGCATTGCTTCATAAAATTGAGGTTAAACCACAGGAGTCACATGGATTACTTTAATGATGTCTTTCTACCGTTCTGGACCTTGAATGTTTTAGTTGCGTTGCTGCCAATGGAGGTTTCAGAAAGTTTCAGAAAGTCTCGAATTTCATCAAAAATATCCTAATTTGTGTTCTGAAGATGAACAAGGTCTTAGGGGTTTGAAATTATATGAGGGTGAGTAATTGATGACAGAATTTTAATTTTTGGTTGAGCAAACCCTTTATGACATTGTATGTGTATTTACACAGTTTTTGTTTTGTCTGTTGCCACCTCATCGCTTACATTTATTGTCGTCAGAAAGCCAAACCTCTCTCACACCTCATCAAAAATCTACCCTGCCACTGCCGCCATGATGTTTGCTACTATTTATTAACTTGGCGAAATATTTGCTGCTATAGTGCTTGTAAAGCACAGTCACAGTATACAGTTTCAGCAGCCCTTGGTGTTTAAAACGCCTATCTTGATTTGTTTAACGTCTCAATCAACTTGCAGCACATATTTGCATCGATTTTCAACCGACTTTGAGTACATTGTTACATTCCTATTACTCACAAAAGCAGCATAGGGAAACTTTAAACCACAGGTGTCTAAACTCGGTCCTGGATGTCCACTCTTCTGCAGAATTTAGCTACAACTTACCTGGAAGTTTCTGGTATGCCTAGTAATACCTTAGTTAACGGATTCAGATGTATTTAATTAAGGATGGAGCTAAACTCTGCAGAACAGTGACCCGCAGAGCAGGATTCGACACCCCTGCTTTAAACAATCACTTTTTTTTTGTTATTCAAAACATTGATAGTGTTTAATTTGTGTATATTGAAGTCTGTCAGTGTGTACTGTATATAGAATAACCAACTGTTAGTGATTTTTACTGTTATTTTCTGATTTTAAAGGCTCATGGTGAGGCACTTCATACACACAAGAAGGGCGTGCAAGCTGGCCTCCTAATACGAAGACTACTATGGTGCACTGCAGGACACCTTTCTCCTTTTAAATGTTCAAAAAAAAAAGGACTGTAATGGACATGTATGTGGGTTTTTTTCAAGCTTTTCTCAGTGGTTGTTTCCCATGAGGTATGAGTGTATTTTCAGCTTTGTATGACATTTCTTGGCAGTTTTTTGCTACTTTTGTGCCCTTGTTGTATACATATACTGGCATTCACACATTAGCATGCACAGGCAGGTTGTGTACTGTTCTTAATATTAAAACCCTGTTTATAAGCACTGCAAGAAAAAAAATAATTTTAAATGTTTCAAACAAATGTTGTAGTATTTTTTTAATCTGGATCTAAACTAAAGTTTACATTACCATAACTAGAAAACTAATGTTTAAAATTTTTAACTTAAGTTGAAACAGCAAATATTGTAAAGTCAAATGTACTTCAATTAAACAATTCAGCACTAGGCAAGATTTAAATTAGTGAGTTGAAATGACTTGTAGTCCCTCTAAGCGAGATCCCAATTTCGTCCCAATTTCATCCTACCCAAAACTTGCAAAATTAGCCAGATCAGTACTATGCATCCCGGCCAGTAGCAGCCGCAGCAGTGAAAGGGTGTTCAGTGCTGCTGGACGCACCATCAGTGAGCGCAGGACCGCGCTGAAGCCATCTACAGTGGATTCAATAATTTTCCTCCACATAAACATGTAGCCTAATCTTGGTGAGTAAAGGTTTTTCAAATTATAACTAAATATTAATTGAGTCTTAGATGCATAATGTAGACAGAGTATATAGGCTAATATTGGCATTATTCTTTTATTAAATTTCACCGTCGCGTTGAGGCCGGATTGTGGAGAGAAGTGGCGAAGCAAATTCCGCGGAGCCTTTGTCTTAATTTCGTTATTGCCAAATACCCATCTTAATTTAGAATTTATCTTAATTTAATTTAAGAAAGACTTTTTTTATTGGCGCGTTGACCTATTTATAGTGTATGCCGAGGCCTATTTAGAGTACTGAGATGTTACGATGTTACAGAGGACTTATTTTATTTCTTTGTTCCAACTTCCAAGTGGCCTATAGCCTACATTGGTCATGAATAAATTATGTTAAAACATGTATAAATGACTCATTCTTGACAAAAGGCAAAAGAGCTGTGTGCGTGCGCACATTTTAATAATGTCGGGCTGTAAACGGGTTCGGGCTTTTAAAAAGCTGTCAATCAAAATGTACTTGTCGGGCTCGGGCCGCATTCTGTCGGGCTCGGGCTCTGTCGGGCCTAACTTTTAAGGCCCGATTACAGCTCTACTATCCCTAATGGTGGTTAATGGACCATTTTCAACAAAAGCTACACTCTTTTGACAACATCTGTTGCTTACCACAAAAAAAAAAAAAAACTTGTCTCTCAGTTACTGAAAACAATTTTTTTAATCATCAGCACAATTGACCCTTTGCTAAGCTCTGCCCCCTTGGTTACTTTTCATGTGTTTTGGCTGGTCATTTACACGATAACAGTGCTTTAAAAATGCAAACTTTCAAAAATGGGTTTCATAGTGCAAGTTTTAGAAAATGATATTCTTATCTCAGTGTAAACTATAAAAATGTGACCTTGTGAAAACTGATGTCATATGCATGCGTATTACGTGTTCAGTATATAGGCTTGCGAGAAGTTCTTTACAAAGTGGCATCGCCAACTACTGGCCTGGCATGCATAATACAGCGTTTTAATTGTTTTCAAGGATCCAAGTGAAAGGATCCATATTGACAACATTGTCATCTATACAGTATGCAAAGCTTTTCAAAAATTTTAAGGAAAAAAACATACAGTTTGTAGTATATTATTTTAATGTAATCATAACCTCAGTCAAGTTTCACAGAACAAGGAATAAACAGCATGATTTTCAGTAAAAAATTATCATAAAGTGGATCCATATTGACAACATTGTCATCTATACAGTATGCAAAGCTTTTCAAAAATTTTAAGGAAAAAAACATACAGTTTGTAGTATATTATTTTAATGTAATCATAACCTCAGTCAAGTTTCACAGAACAAGGAATAAACAGCATGATTTTCAGTAAAAAATTATCATAAAGTGGTAAAACATTGTTTGGATTTTACTCTTACGCAGACTGAAATTAATTACGACATGGCAAAGCATCTTAATCTGACTTTTTTTTAAAGAAGTGTGAAATTAAGCAGTAATGCAGATTTTATTTCAAATCTGAAAGTAAAGCATTGTTTGAAAGCGATAAAAAGTGATTATATTAGTGTATGTAAACATAATGTTTCTACCATGCATCAATACTGTGAAATCTTTAGTTGTTATGGACAAAACAATGACCAAAATAAATATGTACATGAAATTATGTTATATACAAATAATCTATTGCATTAACTTAATTTGCAGTGCTACATGGGAGTGATCAGCCACTAAAAAGTTCATTTGCTGCAATTTGTTTGTCACTATTCTTTGATTGGTGGCATTTTTTTTTTCAAAATCATGGGTAATGTAGCTTTGAAATTTAAATAAGGTGGACTGATGGTTTTAACAAAAGCATGCACCATCAATCAACAACCTCATTGCTCACAGTAAGGTTTAGAAGTTATTAAAAATCAATCAATTAAAAATATCAGTAAAAGTCAATTCCTCTGTAGAGAAAATTAATAGGATACATTCTTCAAGAACTTGACTGTTGCACTCTATTATAAACTGACCTATAATTGATATCATGGCTGATTTGATTTCACTGGAGCTCTATGAAGTCATACAGGTTCCAAAATTCAATGACATCTAATAAAAGCGTCATGCAGCACAATGCTGCAATTGTGTCCCAAAGAAAAGCCTAGAGTGGCAAGCCGAGGCAGCACTCAAACAAGCGCTGTCATGGTAACACTTGTTTTTGCATGAGAGGAGGAGGATGTAATACCCCCTTAAGGGGAATCTCATGAAATCTAATGGAAGTTGACAAAGCAATGACTCATTATGTGGTGACTGAACATTATCCTAAACAATCATAAATGCAAGACAAAAGAGGAGAACAAAACAGCTCTTTTCAAACGTATCAATTAAACCACCCTGTTCTGACTTGAATATCAGCCCAAAACCATTATATGAGGAACTGTAC